TGTGGGTGGGTGTGGGTGTGGGGTGTGGGTGTGGGTGGGTGTGGGTGGGTGTGGGTGTGGGGTGTGGGTGTGGGTGGGTGTGGGTGTGGGTTTTCTTCAGTCGCACCCAAACCCTCACCCTACACCCACACCCACATCCACACCCACACCCATACCCCACACCCACACCTACACTCACACCCACACCCACACTTACACGATTGAAGTAGTGGTAACATTGTCAGAATGACCGGGACTAGTTTCAGATGAGCGATCTGTCTATTATGAAGAATGAAGAAATATTTTGAATTCGGTACAGATATTGTGGCGCTACTAATTTGGGTGTTGATGTGGGTTTGGGTCTGGGTGGGTGTGGGTGTGGAGTGTGGGTGCGAGTGTGCGTGTTTGACATTTCACTACACACCCTCATTTCACCGACCACTCCACCTCTACGTGATAAAATCTCAAGCAGTTCTCATTAATTTGAAGTGTCTTTTGATGGAACAAAGGACTGTTACAATCTACTATAAGACCATGTTCAAAACTAATATTGTGCATGGCAGTCACCAATAATGGACGATCAGGTGATACTGAATGTTGCATGAGTCGAAGCGGTTTCTCTAAATAAAAAAGCATCTTCTTATATTTTCTCATTGAATGATGTACCAATGCATCGTTAACATGAGCTACTACCGATTCTCAACGCCAAAACGAAATAGACTACTTTGGAATTTTGCAAAACTGTTTTATAGCTGAAGAGTTCATTCGTAGTCCCCCATTAATAATGCATATGGGAGCTAACGTTATAGTTGATTATAACCATGCTAAAAAGATAAAATGGAAGATGTTGTTGCAGGGTTTGAAGAGCTGTCGCATAGCGCGAAAGTTCCAAGGTCTGGGTGTGAGTAGGCGTGAGTGTGAGTGTGTAAGAAGAAGAAACACCCCCACCCACACCCTGAATTATAAAGATCCGTGATTGGAAATCCAGAAATTTTTTTTCGATACCTGAGGAGGACCCCAAGTATCAAAACTTGACTTGGGATCATATGGAACATAGAATTATGAAGAATATTCAGAGTTCGATGCTGACTTCCAAAGTAATAAAACCAGGTTTAAACTTTTCGGGGCCTCCGATCCTAATTCGATGCAAATTTTGATGTATTAGACTGTGATTAATGTGTGATAATAAACTAAAAAATGAATAACCATTAACTACATGCTTTATTTTATCTTATTTTACTATATCTTGCTTGTTCGATAAAGTTAGAGATGCTTCACTTTACTTTACCTTACTTTACTTTACTTTACTTTACTTTTCGGATAAAGTAGATCTACTTTACTTTATCAAGTAAAGTAAAGTAACCCAACTTTACTTTACTTTATCAAGTAAAGATAAAGTGCCGCCCCTACTCCACACCCACACCCACCCATACCCACACCCACACACCCACACTCACACACCCACACTCACACACCCACACACCCACACCACACCCCATTTAAACCTCAAATATGAGAATTCTCGTCAAAACACTTACGAGTAGAACTACCACACTCGAAGTATATCTGTCACGATCCATGACGATGTCAAGAGAGCATCTCAGACTGTGACAGACACTAAAAGCAAAGTGTCTTTCATGCTTACAGGTAGAACATTAGTGGATCCAAATTGTACTCTGTATACTTTTACATTCAATCCAGTCGTATTTTGCACAAGTATTCATAAGTGGTATTGTTTCTCTTATATTTTACGGTGAGCTTTGTTCTCATGGTTGTTCTCTCTCTTAGACAGAAAAGGACGCCTTTTTACAAATAGAAACGCGTTTTTCTTTATTGATTCTGTCTCACTGAGCTGTTATCGCATTGTGGTAACATGAGATGGTAATTTAAGAAAAAGTAAAAATAAGAATGAGAAGAAAGCAATTCAAGGCTTTATTCTTTCGTTCGCAAGAGACATTCAGTATCACCTAGCCACGTATTAATAGTCGACTGTTTGGAGAATTTCAATTTCGACATAGCAGCTACCATGGCTTCCGTTGTCATGAAAGATGAAAATCTAGAAACATTTAGCCTTATATGGCTCGACACTAATAACAACATCGACCAGAAGAGACGAAATATAGAGCAGCAACTGCGTAGCATCATTAATCATCTCAGAAAGTTTGGAGATGGACTCGAATGTCAACAGTACATTGAGCAAAGATCAACGGACGATCGGTTAATGCTTATCGTTAGTGATGAATTGGGCCGACAGCTGGTGCCGCGCATCCACGAATTGCAACAAGTTTCATCAATCTATGTTTACTGTATGGACCAAAGTAGCAATGATCAATGGACTAATGAGTTTCCCAAAGTAAGACTTTAAAACGTTATCAACTTTGCAATCAATCAAACAATCTTTCTTTAGTTTTGCAGTTTCTATTCGGAACTATTAAGAATAATACGTGCCATAACGCACCAAAAAGACTTACGAAAGATAATCTTTTAGCGGACATCCGAAATCAGGATAAAGACTTCTCAGTTCGCACAGAACCAGAATACTTTTTTATAGATCCATACCTTTAGGTAAAGTTTTTATTTCGTGAGAAAACAGTTTCTTCTGTGAAGACTATTTTCAGAAGCCTACTTTTGTCGTGTTATGATTGTAGATTAAAACTGTTAGTGTTGGAATCGGCGAACTCGTTGATAAGATCGAAGCCGATCGGAAGGCACTAGGAGAACCACTTTCAATTAATATACTGAATGCAAATGACGATGCAGGTTTATCGACGACAGGACTCAATGGTCACTTTGTGTACTCTCAACTAGTAATTGACTGCCTTCTTCGAATGAATTCCATTGGAGGAAACAGTAACGAACTCATCTCCCTCCTTCAGAAAGAATACGAAGGCAATCAAGTTCAGATTACCATTATTCATGAGTTTCAGCGCACTTATTCATCCGATCAAGCTTTGTGGTGGTACACTCGTGAGTCATGCTTGTACAAAATCTTGAACAAGGCATTACGTACACAAAATATCGATTTACTCTTTCTTCTTCGACCATTCATTTCCGATATTCACCGTCAATTGCTCCGCTCTCAGTCAAAATCTCACTTGCACGTGTACCGTAGTCAGTTGATGTCGAGCGATGAGTTGGACAGTCTCAAACAACATATTGGCCAGTTCATATCCATAAATGCATTTTTTTCTACCAGCATCGATCCTCAAATAGCGCGTGCATACTCAGGTGATGGACCTGTACCGGATAACTTAAAGAGAGTGTTATTTGAGATCGATGCTGATCCATCAGTAGTCACTACGAAACCTTTTGCTGATATCAGTTCTTACAGTAACTTCTCCAATGAATTAGAGGTACTCTTCATGGTTGGTTCTATTTTCCACGTTACTAATATTACTCCAGATGACAACCACGTGTGGACTATTCAAATGAGATTATGTGGTGACGATGAAAATAGTTTACAGCCAGTCCTTAAATACTTGAGAAATCAAAATGGAATTGGAGAAACGAATCTTCAGTCATTGGGAAACTTTTTATGGAAAATGGGCAGGTTTGATCTGGCCGAAAAATACTATCTTCGCGCGCTGAACGAACTTCCGTCGAATGATTCTTCGCTAAGTGCTATATATGAGAATTTGGGTACGATTGCCTCGCAAAAAGGTGCCTTGGATGCGAGTATTCAATACCACAGAAAAGCCTTCGCCATCAGAAACGAAATTGATTCCTTCGGTGAGTACATCAAAATAGGCGATTAACATCGAGCACATGGCTAATACGCAAATCATATGTATCAGATAAAATGTAGCCGATAGAATTTCATTGAATAGAAGAGCTTTTCAGTGTTTTCGAACGTTCGAAACCTACTATTGAACCTGACATCTTCTGACAAAATCAAATGCTAAAACTCAACGATTTTCGATAATCCGCTTATCCAATTTTTGCGGATGAAATTCGATTGTATTGAAGACTGCTTGTATGAGGATACTAATCATCGTTCCACAAGATAGTGTCATCAGCTTATTGTCGAGATATTTTCTGGCAAGATATCTTTCGTTCGTTATCCCAAAAAAGCAGGTTTTGAAGGAATTTTAGTGGGTCAAATAGAAGCTCTAAAAGCATGAGTTTTTCGGCTAGTTTGCCAGGCAAACTTTGTCCTGTTACTTTTGAAATTATATGGGAAAGAAAAATATGCCAAAGTATGAAGCAATCAATTCTGTCTATCGAGAAGTATCGTAGTTCTATATAAAACTGTAATAAGCAAAACTCATTTTACTGAGCTTCTATAATCCTGGACAATATTTTTTGGACGATTTTGTTTTGAGTATAACTCCCTTATAATATGGTCTTTTGACGTGCGGCTTGCATCCAAGTTTACAGGCATCGTCTATACTTTATTCACAGAAAATTTTAGCTCACCAGATTGTGTTATAGTGAAAATGAACGTATAACAAGTTGGATGACTCAACTTTCCCTGGACAATTTTTTTTTGGACGAGTTTGTAGATTAAATTATTGTCTCCATATAGCCTCAAAAAACGATTGAAACCATATAAATGGAGAGAGGGGAAGACGCCCTACATTTTGGTATATAAATGTTTTTAAAATATACGTGCTTTTATAGAGAATACATCCTATTCCGCAATGTTGCACATTGCGGGAACCAGTTCCGCCCCCGGAATCAGTTCCCTCAATTCCGAAATGCCTCTAATGACCCTTTCATCTAATTCCGGAATCCCAACAACCTAATTCCCACCAATTCCGGAATTCCTAGAACCCAATTCCTATCCATTCCGGAATTCCCTGACGGAATCACACTATCACCCCTCACCCTCACTTGTTGTCTTGTGTTGCAAAGTTATGGCCTTCCAAACACGACTTAATTCCGCTCCGGAATTCCGGAATTGCATCGCAACCGGAATCGATAGGAATTCCCCGGAATTCCGCGGAATTCCTACCAATT